CTCAAAGGATTTTAAATCGAACCTAACTTAAGCTTTACCGACATAATCGGAGTAGATGGATGAATTCTTTGTTTCATTCTCCATAATGCTTCAGTATATAAAATGCATTACCTCTTAATAGATCTATTGTGAATTACACATAATGATATACAATACTATGTATGTAGTACATCTAAATGATATAAATTCAAAAGATTATCATAAGCGCTAAGATTAAAAACTTTTTAGTAATCCCTTCTGATTCACACATTTTTGTCAAATATAAAACTTTTAAGTGCAGTTTATTCTTTCTCCGTCCCCTGCTAGCTGTATGACATATTTTTTTTTTATTTATAAATCAGGCATATAAAATATGTAGTCAAAGTTTCCCAAAAACAGGTGAATGCCATGCAGATTACTTTTAGTAACTCCAATTGCTGCAAATACAATACAGCTTTGGTTCACGCGATAGGTATGCGTATAATCCTTTTGAAAGGCAACGATATGTCATGCATAATATATGAGGTATCTTGAGTGCCGTTCCCATGTAAAACCCATTGCATGCGATGGTATTCGAGAGTGCATGCTCTTCTATATAAACGAGTGCATGCATGTATGCATATCTCCACAAAGAATCAATTTATGCATAAATTTTTGAATACATGGAAGCAGTGGAGAGGCAGGCTTCCTCTGCGTCGATGATGGTGATTGTCTGCATTTCTGCAATACAAAATTGCAATAAATTTTCCTTTTCAATGTAAATTTAAGTTAACTGCACTTTTTTGAAAATTTCACTAAATTACATTTAAATGCATTCGAAATGAGTCTAAGCTTTCCTATGCACCATCGACCATAAATACAACAAAATAGAAAATCCAAATCCAAAGCCCATTTTCAATAGATGGATGCAATGCAATGGAAACACGTTCAAGTGTCTGCTATGTTGGATAAAATTTTCAAGTGCATATTTTATGAAATATTTTATTATTGGATATAAATTGCATTTTGGAATATGTGTAAGTGTGGATATTTGATAAATTCTTTTTATTCACTTTTGTTTCATTGGTTCAAGTATGCAATGAAAGGTTATTAATACCATTGATACTCTGTAAATTTTTATTCAATTTATTTATTTTTATTTTTATTTATTTTTTTTTTTTTTTTTTGACTATCAACAGTATCTTTTTTTTCATGTTTTTGTAACAAAATAATTGCTTTTATTAAGTGCATTTCGAAAGCTATTGACAAGTGCCATTATGCGTCATTAAAAATGCTATTGAAATATTTTTTTTTAAATACATATATATAAAATTTTTTAAAGTAAAAAAATTAAATTATTTAAAAAACTGTAAAAACTGTTGATATATGAAAAATTTGCCACTTAAATGCTTTTAGCTGAAATGCTTTTCATTTATTTAATGTGAGTATCTGCATTGGTATTAACGATGTCATTCAGAACTAATAAATTCGCAATTTCGCATTAAACTGCAAAAGATAAACACTTTAATTATTAAAGGAAAGTCAAACCATCGAAATATTGTTACAGTTAATCTTACATCTGAAAATGGTTATCCACTCATGAAAACCGAATTGAAATGGCTACGTTGGCAACGAAGTGGAAAACTGAATTTTCCGCAATTTCATTGTCATGCATAAATGAATATAATACTTTGCACTCATTTGCATTTAAATTTGATATGATTTCCAACAATTTTATTTTAACACAATTCACAATTATCTCTGAACACTGAGGCAATGGTCAAGAGAACTTGACTGAAAACAATTAAAATCGTGCAACGATTAACCTTGAAGAGTGAGGTAAAATTGTGAAAAAAATAGATTTATATATATAAAAAAAATATTAAAAAATAATTCTTTCTCGAGAACAAATCTAACTACATCTTAAAAACAAAAAAAAACATACTAAAAGTTAAATTAAGGATGAAGTATTAGACTTAAGGCTCCTATATTCTTTTGTGGTAATTTCCTTGCATCAACCAACATGAGTAGGAATAGGAATGAACGGATTGATTGATTGACAGATTGATCTTTTATGCTGCAACAGATCCTAACCGAACAGAAGACATTCTGCCTTCTAATGAAAGCCAGAATGTTGACCGTTGAGGACCTCCTAATGTCAGAAGGGGAGAGCAGCTCTCCTTCCAGTGACCTTCTCCTGGCCCAGATCAAGGCTGAGTAGTCACAGATAATGTCACACTCCATCTCTTCGGACAGACTTATTTTATTAAGATGATAACGTAGTCCATGGTGAGTCGTTAAATATCGCACCAGCAATCAACATGAGTATTTTTTCAAGCTATTGTCAAATTATGTGGAATTTAACCAGAAGAAATCGTATTTACATGTTCTTATCAAATTATGTGGAATCTAACCAGAAAAAGTCTTTTTTACGGTGATATAGTTGTATAATAGTTTATACTGAAACTGGAGACTAAGCTATATCATATGTTGATCTTGCTTGCTCAGTTTTTTCACATTAATCACTTCAGTTAGGGAACAGATATCTAAAAAATAATAACATTGCTATTAGTGAATTAGATATTAAGTTATTGTTTTTTGGAGATGAAATTAACAATAAATTATAAGAAAGGAACTTTAGGTGTCTTTTTGTCTTGATTGGAGTGTAGTGTAAACCCAAAATACTCGGTCTGTTGTCCATTGTACTGGAACTCAAAAAAAAAAAAGATTTAGTAATTTCAATAATTTTTAAAATGAATTAAAATTTAAGAAAAGAATTTTTTAAGCTAATTGTTTGTTCTATTATATTAGATAATAACACTTTACCATATATAACTGAAAAAGAATTTTACTAACTGTCTTTGTAATGACTTTCAAAATATGATAAAGTATATCATTTTAAAATTAGTTTTAAATGGTGTAAAGATTTAATTATATTACAAAATAAATTTCCTGTTCAGTCGTTTTCAGCTTTTAACATATATGTGAAATATTCATCCATACCTTGGTATATGGCCACTTAAGTCAAATGTGCAACAGTTTAGAAATAATAGATACACAAATGGACGTCCATACATATATCCCCACTCGTTTGTTGAACATATATATATTTTCGGGTTGACTAAATTCATTATATATTGTAAATGCAGTGGGGTGCATTTTTGATATGCAATCAAGAACCCCTCCAAAGTACTTTAGAACGTCGTTGCTGAATGATGGCAATAATGCTCATTCAATGCACTTTTGAAGCCAATATATTGGGTGGTACAAACCGAACGGTATGTTATGTATGTGATATATCGGTGCTATATATGTAACATGTATTTTGTGTAAAAGTTGTTGATTAAACCGGAAATTACAAATTTTCTACGCAATGTGCTAATAAATTCAACGCTTGTTGCTTCCAAGCAATATGTCGGAATCCTTTTCACAAATAAATTTTGAGATTTTCATTTAATAAATTTAATAGTTACGTGTCTGCAATAGAATAACGAATATCTGACGTGACATGCAGGAATTTTAAAACAATTTAATTATTTTAAACGTAACACGTTAAGTGCTTAGCAAAATCCTGTAAGAAAATTTGATTTTAGTGTTGTGTGAATAATTGCTAAAGGACGAAATACTCCACATGTACTTCAGTGCTTCACACGTTCTTCGCTTGTAGCGCTAAGCATAGCCAGATTCGGTGGCAGACATGAGGAAGCGCTCTTCACAGAGCTGTGTTTGCATACCAAACCACAAATAACTGAATTGCTGCTTAATGTGCCACACAGTGAAATTGCCTTATTGCCTTATTGCCTTAAGGATGAGTAGCATTTCCTTGCTTTGTGGCGTGAACGTGTTTGTTATTTTAAAGTATCTAAAAGTAGGCTAATCATTCAAATGTTATTTGCACTGAAAGAAATAAAAGTGAGCAAAGAAAAAGAAACAAAAATTGTAAAAAGATATAAAGCGAAAAGTTCCGGGAAATGCAAAGTGCTAAAGAAAAAACTGATAGCAAAATCCACTTTTATCATCCGACAAATATCCTTCGAATTGAATTTTTCCTCAGGCTACACACTACCGCCTCTTTGAATTTTTCCTTTTCACCTTTTTCTTGATGCAAAGGCTGCTGCTATTTGCCAATGATGGCTTCTTTATACGTTTTTTTACCTTTTTAACATCAATCCATTTTTATTCTCAGACACTTCAGAACAGTTCCACACAAACATCACTACTGACTATCGGTTCGTATATTTTGGCTTTGATAGTTTATAACTAAGGCGCGCTGCAGCTGCAGCCGTTGGAGAGGACCGATGTGAATGTGAAAGTCAATAAAAACTTTTGCTGCAGAAATCCGCATTATATAAATGCAAGCAGAAGTTCTGCACTCTTCGCTTTTTTTCATTATAAAAAAAAAATGTTTTTTGTGGTTTATTTTGTAATAAACCGCAATTTTAACCAAACGAAAAAAAAGGCTTCGAAATAAAGAATACAAGTAATCAAAGCTGTTGTAGGCGTGTGTGGGGCGCAAAAAGTTTTGTTGCATTCACTCAATGCAAAATGCATAAAAACACAAAACTGCTTTAACATTATTATTAAAATTTTATTTTTCAACATCAATCATAACCAAGCCAATTTAAAACTTCGTTAACAAACATTTTCTGTTATTGCAACGTCAATTGAAGTGAAATCCATTGGCATCCTACACATCCTACAACCGCACAAATAAAGTGAATCCCTACATTACTCGTTGTCAGATAGTTTGACAAAAATCTAATAAAATATTTTTAGCTCTCTGATGTACTTGAACGTTCGCTTTTCGTTGGATTACGTCCAACGAGAGCGTGGAAGCGTTGAACTGTAGAAAAAATAACTCTGAAATCAACATCCATCCATGTTTGCAAACGAATCGAAATTGATTTACTGTTTTTTTAAAAAAAATTTTTTTAATATAAATTATGTTTAGCATACTCTGAATACTACAAAAAAAATTTTAAAAAAATACTTTAAATACTTTTGCAATATTAATGTTTGCATATTGATTCTAGGACGAAGGCTGGAAATTGAATCGCACAAACTACTATCAAGAAGGATGGCTAGCGACAGGCAACATACGTGGCATCGTGGGAGTGACATTTACCACTTCACATTGTCGAAAGAATATGGACTACCCGCTCCGCACAAACTATAACCTACGTGGTCATAGATCAGATGTAAGTCAAGCAATGTTGTGACTATATAATTTTTTTATACACAACAAAATACTTAGTTAGGTTAGGTGATACCGTCAATGACTCCACTTAATTCTCTTCTAAAAATCCTTAACAACACTTACTGAAACAATCAATTCAGACATTGATAATATTCTTATTACAAAGTGAATATATCTTTGACTTGGCTTTTAATCTTTTTGATTTTCCTAACCGTTTATTCCCGACACCCTTTCCTTTTTTACGTACACTTTTCCATTTATCATACCCGTAGCTGATGTTTTTCATCCTTTTTAAATCTAAAAATGAATGTAAATTAGACACATAGAGGGCGCGATGGATAGCTGGAGAAAATATGACTAAAGAATGGCGACGCTACGCTCGCCAAAAGAAATATATATTGTCTTGTCAACACATTTTCTTATTGCTGTATTATCGATGGAATTGTATTATACATACTAAATTATGCATAATTATAATAAATTTCATTAATAAAAAAATTATAAGGAAAATAATTAATAAACATATATGTGTAAGCACTATAAACTCTTATTCGTATGAATATACATATTTGTTTCAATTAAATATACTTCCCAAAATCAAAAAGAATAATTGTCCTATTAAGTTAATTACAACTGAATTCATATCAATTACGGTTCTCAGTAAATACTAGATAAAATCACCAAAAATCCAAAAATAGTATTAGATAAAAATGCTAGCTATTAGCACCAAACGATATCTCTTGGCAGGAGTAGTAAAAGTTTAAAAATTAAAGCAATTATTTAATTTAATAATAATAAACTTTTTGACCATTTTTTATGTTTTCTTCTTAATGACATCTATATTTTGCTTTTCTAGGTTATATTAGTAAAATGGAACGAGCCTTATCAGAAATTAGCTTCATGTGATAGTTCCGGCATTATATTTGTTTGGATAAAATATGAAGGTCGTTGGTCTATAGAATTGATCAACGATCGTAACACACCAGTAACACATTTCTCTTGGTCTCATGATGGGCGCATGGCGTTAATATGTTATCAGGATGGCTTTGTGTTAGTTGGTTCAGTGGCTGGTCAACGCTACTGGTCATCGATGTTGAACTTAGAATCTACTATAACCTGTGGTATATGGACACCTGATGATCAGCAAGTATATTTCGGAACTACTCAGGGACAGATTATTGTAATGGATGTACATGGTGCTATGGTGTCGCAAGTACAATTGTGCAGCGATGTGGGTATTACTTCAATGGCTTGGTCTTGTGAAAAGTTCAAAATGGAAGAGGGTGAAGAAGCAGAACCGGGAGTTACCAATGCCTGTATGTATATAAATTTGTTTTTTAATGATTTTTATATTATATATAATTTTTAAATTATTTTTACAGCAAAACGTACTTTTGTGCTTGCGGTTAGTTTTCAAAACGGTTACATATACTTGCTTAAATCATTTGATGATGTTTCTCCTGCTCATATAAATACTGGTTTGAATGGTTCACTCGGCATGGTTATGGAGTGGAGTAATTCTCGCGAATTATTAGCAGTAGCCGGAACAGTTCAACAGCCTACTGCATTGCTCGACAGTCATGGCGCGACAATGTATGAAAACACACTTAAATTCTACACTGAAAGTGGTGTTTTATTATACCAGGCGCGTATACCGAATAGTACATCACCAGTGTCAGCCTTAACTTGGGGTCATAATGATAAACGCTTATTCATAGCAACAGGAACACAAGTACATATAGCCTGGGTGTCGCGACGTGTTGCCTCGTTGCAACTTTTGTGTCGCCTACAAATACAGGCGCGTATAGGTTCTGATGCCGTTGTTGCCTTGCTGCCTTTACCATCAAGAATTAAGTCTTTGATCGGTAATTTATTTGCTCAAACTATAAGAGTACGTACATATATTACTAACTTTCGAACAAATATTTATAATAAAAACATATTTTTCGCAGTGTTGTGTACCTGATTTAAAATCATTAAGAGAATTTGTTTCGCGACCTCCCGTATGTTCCACTCGTTTGCACTGCACAATGATACGACATGATGATGATTCCAATTTAAGTTCCGGTACATGTTATACTCTGTATTTAGAATATTTAGGTGGCTTGGTGCCACTTCTAAAAGGCAAACGTACATCGAAAATACGTCCAGAGTTCGTTATATTTGATCCACAAGTGAACGGTAAAATTTAAATTTAAATCTCTACATATATTTCCTAAACAAAGCATATCCCTTCCCCTTAAATAATAGATTCTTCAGTATTTTTCCAATATTCGCCAGATTCAAAAAGTTCCTCTGGTTCAAGTCAATCTACTACAACGGGTAATAGCGGACGTACTGATTCTTCTGATAGTGAGTATGAAGATCGTTGTCGTGGTTCACCCCGCACACCGCGTAAGCGTAAAATAAGACAGAAAAAACGGCCTACAGGTAATACAGATAGAACTACAGGTTCTGGAGTAACAAATGATCCGGATAGCTTGGATGAACTTGCCTATGTAGACACATTACCCGAGGTAAGCATATTCAAACTTAATTGAAATTAGACATACATTTCCCACTTGATTGCAGGAAGTCAAACTGGTTGAAGTTACCTCAAATATTTGGGGTACTAAATTCAAAATTCATGGACTTGCTAAAACCGTCCCAGCCAATTTAGGCCAAGTAACATATAAAACGTCCCTGCTGCATTTGCAACCCCGGCAAATGACTTTAGTCATAACCGAACTACGCGACGATTTTCCACTTGGGCCCGATCCAAATTTTAATCCAAACCTCTTCTCTGAGGATGAAGATGAAGCTATAGCAGCACACAACGCCAATGGATTAAACAGCAGTTTGCCAAAAAACTCAACAGCTACAAATGAGCCTTTAACAAAACCTCCTAGCATAGCACATCGACGACTCAATGAAAGCGCTCCACCTATAGCACCAATGTCACCTCGACCTAATCGTTTACTGACACGACATAAAAACTCATTAAACGGTAACAATCTTACAGGTAGTATGGGTATGAGTCCATTAGCCAGAGCTGAGTCTTATGATGACGACTCTTCCAATGAACAACTGGAAGCAAATAACAATAGTGCTATTCAAGCTTCAACATCGACTGTTGCTGTACTTCACAATACTACAAATGGTACAACTAATAATAAAATTTCGCGTCCAAAAAATATAACAACAACAACACCTGGTTCTCGTTCTGGACCTGGACCAGGATATAGTAGTTTTAAAAATAATTATAGTCGTTCAAGTTCAAATTCTAGTTGTCAGTCACGTCATGCGATATCACCACTCTATTGTGATGGTTCCGTCCCTACATTACAATCACCAAAAAACGCGGTGGCTCCCACTGATAT